CAGAACATTTGAAAACTTTAGAACAAAAAGAAGCAAACTCACCTAAGAGAACTAGATGGCAGGAAATAAAGTGAGAGTTGAAATCAACAAAGAAAACAATACAAATAATCAAAGAGACAAAGAGCTGGTTCTTTGAGAAAAATCAACAAAATGGACAAACCTTTATCCAAACTAACCAAAAGGCAGAGAGAGAATATCCACATTAACAAAATCAGAAATGAAAAGAGGGATACAACAGACACAGAGGAAATACAGAAATCATCAGGCCATATTTTGAAAACCTGTACTCCACAGAATTAGAAAACTTGAAGGAAATGGACAACTTTCTGGATAAATATCGCTTAACCAAAATTAAATCAAGACCAGATAAGCAAATTAAATAGACCTATAACTACTGAAGAAATAGAAACAGTCATCAAACATCTCCCATCCAAAAAAAAAAAAGCCTAGCACCAGATGGTTTCAGCTCAGAATTCTACTAGACTTTCAAAGAAAAACAAATACCAATACTCCTCAAATTATTCCACACAATAGAAACAGAAGCAACATTGCCAAACTCTTTTTATGAGGCTACAATTACCCTGATACACAAACCACACAAAGACATTACTAAGAAAGAGAATTACAAACCAATATCACTCATGAACAGATGCAAAAATACTAAATAAAATACTGGCAAATCAAATCCATCAGAGCAATCATCCACCATAATCAACTTGGCTTCATTTCAGAGATGCAGGGATGGTCCAAAATACGAAAATCTGTCAACATAATCAACCATATAAACAAACTGAAATATAAAAACCACCATGATTTTCTCAATAAATGCTGAAAAAGCTTTCGACAAAATACAACATCCCTTCATGATAAAGGTCTTGGAGAGAGCAGGGTTACAAGGAACATACCTAAACACAATCAAGGCAATATACAGTAAGCCAACAGCCAACATCAAACTAAATGGAGAGAAACTCCCAGTGATTCCACTGAAATCAGGAACAAGACAAGGTTGTCCACTCTCTCCATATCTATTCAATATAGTTCTTGAGGTCCTAGCTAGAGCAATAAGACACACACAAAAAAAAAAAAAAAAAGATCAAGAAGATACAAATTGGAAAAGAAGAAGTCAAACTCTCACTGTTTGCTGATGATTTGATAGTTTACATAAATGATCCCAAAAATTCTACCAAGGAACTTCTACAACTCATAAACACTTTCAGCAATGTATCAGGATACAAGATTAACTCAAAAAAAAAAAAATCAGTAGCCCTCCTGAACACAGATAATAAAAGGGCTGGGGAAGAAATCTGCAAATCAACACCCTTCACAATAGCCAGAAATAGCATAAAATATCTCGGAGTAACCCTAACCAAACAAGTGGAAGACTTATATGACAAAAACTTTAAATCTTTGAAGAAATAAATGAAGACATCAGAAACTGGAAAGATCTCCCATGCTCTTGGGTAGGCAGAATTAACATAGTAAAAATGTCAATTTTACCAAAAGCCATCTACAGATTCAACACAATGCCCAGCAAAATCCCAGCAAAATTCTTCAAAGACCTCGAATGAACGGCACTCTACTTCATACAGAAAAGCAAAAAACCCAGGATAGCCAAAACAATCCTGAGCAATAAGAGAACTTCTGGAGGCATCACAATCCCTGACTTCAACTCTACTACAGAGCTGCAGTACTGAAAACAGCCTGGTATTGGCATAAGAACAGACAGGAGGTCCAATGGAACTGAATAGAAGACTCGGATATCAATCCACACACCTACAAAACTGATTTTTGACAAAGAAGCAAAAAATATCAAATGGAAAAAAGAAAGCATATTTAACAAATGCTTCTGGCATAACTGGATATCAACATGTAGAAGAATGAAAATAGACCCATATCTATCACCATGCACAAAACTCAAATCCAAATGGATCAAAGACCTCACCATAAAGCCAGCCACACTGAACCTTAGAGAAGAGAAAGTATATACCCAAAGGATGCTCAATCGTGCCACAAGGACATGTGCTCAACTATTTTCAGAGCAGCTTTGTTTGTCATAGCCAGAACCTGGAAACAACCTAAATGCCCCACGATTGAAGAATGGATGAGGAAAATGTGGTACATTTACACAATGGAGTACTACACAGCAGAAAAAAATAACGAAAACTTGAATTTTGCAGGAAAAGGGATGGAGCTAGAAAACATTATTTTGAGTGAGGTAACCCAGACATAGAAAGACAATTATCACATGCACTCACTCATACATGGTTTTTAAACATAAAGCAAGGAAAACCAGCCCATGAGTCACAATCCCAGAGAACTTAGACAACAATGAGGACACTAAGAAAGACTTACATATATCTAATCGACATAGGAAGTAGAAAGTAGAAAAAGACAAGATCTTCTGAGTAAACTGGGAGCATGGGTACCTTGGGGGAGGGTTGAGGTGGGGAGGGGAGAGGCAGGAAGGGGAGCAGAGAAAAATGTAGAGCTCAATAAATATCAAAAAAAAAAAAAGAATAAGGCCTTCCTCAAAAGAATTATTTTTTAATTATATTATGTTGCTGAGCTGTAGTGGCACGCACCTTTAGTAACAGTACTTCAGAGGTAGGAGACAGATCTCTGAGTTCAAGGCCAGCCCAGTCTACAGAATGAGTTCCAGGAGAGTCAGGGTTACACAGAGAAACCCTGCCTCAAAAAAACAAAAATAAAAAGGAAAGAAAAACCATTGAATTCTTTGCCTGGCAGCGATGCTGCACAACTTTAACTACACTGCTTGGAGGGCAGAAACAGGACGATCTCTGTGAATTTAAGGCCAGGCTAGTCTACAGACAAAGTTCCAGGGCAGTCAGGGCTATACAGAGACAGTAACAAGAAGCCCCCTAGGGCTGGCAGCTCAATCTGAGTAACCAACCAGTGAGTTCCACATTCAGTGAGCAACCCTGTCTCAAAAAGCAATGAACTGTCTAAGGAAGAGACAACGACATCTGACCTCCACACACTTGTACACCCAGACAAAATCCACCCCTTGTGCACACACAGGAAAAGTGCAAAACACTAAATGTTGGCGGAGGCTGCTGGTTCATTTCCCAGCTGTCCAGACCTGAAATAAGCACAAAACTGCATTAACTAAAACACTGCTTGGTCTATTAGCTTATGCATATTTCTAGCAAGCTCTTATATCTTAAATTAACCCATTTCTATTAGAGCTCGGCATCTATCTACCTACGTGGCTTCTCTTCAATTCCACCTACTGTCTCCTCCTCTATATCTGCTTGGAATTTCCACCTTGCCCTATTCTGCACTGCAACACGTCCAAAGCAGCTTCTTTATTAACCAATGGTATTCATAGCACGCAGAGGGGAATCCCACATCAACTAAATATAGTTTATTATTATATTATTTAAGGGGAGAAAGAGATTTGTATTTTGAGTATATTCACATCTGTGTTTGCAACAGGTAACAATGGCTACCCTTTTGAGTTAGGCACATATGCCCTTTTCAGAGCAAAAACAAACAAACAAAAAAAAAAAAAACTAGCCAAAACAAAACACTATTTTCAGCTGGGTATGGTGACACATGCCTGAAATCCCAGCACTTGGGGAGGCTGAGGCAGGAGGATAGAAAATGCAGAGTCAGCCTCATGAATACACTAAGTCCAAGACAGTGGACTGCATGACAGCATCTCTTTAAAAGTTTAACAAAGTTTATAAAGTGCTTGTTCAAGACTGAGTTGGCTCATGCCAACTCCTTTCTGCTGGTAGCAGCAACTACTCATCCACTTCAAGATTTGCCTCTGCCAAACTTGCTGTGTTAGTAATATCTTATTTAAGAATTCTGAAGCATGGGGGCTGGAGAGATGGCTCAGTGGTTAAGAGCATTGCCTGCTCTTCCAAAGGTCCTGAGTTCAATTCCCGGCAACCACATGGTGGCTCACAACCATCTGTAATGAGGTCTGGTGCCCTCTTCTGGCCTGCAGGCATACATGTAGAAAGAATATTGTATACATAATAAATAAATAAATAAATAATTTGTTTAAAAAAAAGAATTCTGAAGCATAATACAATTTCAATTTTAACTTTCTAAATGACTACATTATCAAGAGCATATCGATGCTACGCAGTGGGAGCACATGATTTTAGGAAGACAGAGGCAGGCAGAACTCTGAGTTTGAGACAAGCCTGGTCTACAGAGCTAGATCCAGGACAGCCATGGTTACACAGAGAAACCTTATCTCAAAAGAAAACAAAAACAAAACAAGGATAGATCTAAGTGAAAATAGATTAAAATACATCGTATTTTGTGAGAGCAACTCTTCTGTTTGTCACATAAAAAATTACAGTGTAAATTACTCATAGACCCCTATAATGGAGTAAACCATTAAGATCACTAACTCTCAGGTTGAATGTATAGAATTTCAACATCATGTTACTAAGACAGGATTCTAATCAAAGAAAAAGAATGGCGTTAGCTGTCTTCCCTCTGGAAAGTCTCACAACACAGACACACACATACACACACACCACGAAATCAACAGCTCTATTGCTACAAACAATAATTAAACAATTTGGGCGAAAATGCATTTTTCACAGACCCAAACGTAATTTATCAACTGAACTCCTAAGTCATTCTCATTCTGTGTCACCGGTGGGAAGGAAAAAAAGATAGTTCAACAAAGAGAAGGCACCAAGGGACGGGCCCCTGGCAACTCCACACCATATGGCAAGGCAAGCCTCCCATCAGACAGTTATCACTCGATGGCTGATTGATGTCAATGCTTATTAGACAGGCTCTCGGGCCCCCTGCCCCAAAGCGAAGGAAATCTGTTGTCTGCGATGCTTTTCATCTAGGAAACTTGATGGTCCTTCCTAGGAAACTAGTTTTTGTCTACCGGGTTTGGAACCTCAAACTCCCCGTGGCCCGGCACTGCAGGGCAGGCGTCCCGCAGCTGGCCTCGCCCCTTGCTCCCACGCGCGTTGGCCCGGCCCGATGACCCGGCTTACCGGTCGGCGCGCTGTCCAGGATGCGCAGGTCGTAGGCCCCGGAGCAGCGGTAGTTGGCGGCCGTGCCGTTGTCCCACACCACCACGACCTCCTCCGGGCTCTCGAAGCTCCGCACAGTGCCCACATGGCCCTCGCCGCCGTCCTGCTTGCCCCACTTCCAGTCTGGGCCGCGCACTACGCGGGCGCCGACCCCCTCCACCATCACCCGGTTGTTGCGGGAGTTACTCATCGGGGCCCGGGCTGTGGGCGCCGCCGCCGGCGGGGGAGCCGTGAGGGTGCCGGGCCCGGGCCGCACTCTGGGCGCCGGCGGGGGCAGCAGCGAGCCCCGCGGCCCGTGAGGCCGACGCAAAGGCGGGGCGGCACGGTCCCCGAAGAACCCTTCGCCCGGGCCGGGCCGTCGCGGCCCCCGCTCCCACTGGAGTCCCGCCCGCGACGGCTCGCAGGCGGCGGCTTGCAGGCCGAGGGCGGGCGGCCGCGGGCGGGGGCTCTGCCGCTTGCCCCGGGCTCCCCGGCCGGGCTACAGCGTCGGCCGCCAGCAAACCTCGCTCTCCCCCGGCCGGGAGCGCGGAGGGCCGGGGAAGGCTCGCCCGGGCGCGGCGGCGAGCGCGGCGGGAGGCCAGGCAAGCTGCCGGCCCTCAGCGGCCCCCGGCCGCTCGCTCAGGCCTGGGCGCCCGGGAGCCGGCTCCGCGGTGGGCAGCGGCGCTAGCGGCCGGCGAGCGGCCGGCACCCGGGCCCCGGGGCCCGCTTCCCTCAGCCCCCGCGCACGCCGCCGCGCTCCGCCCCGCCACCGAGTCCCCGCCGGGCGAGAGCGGCTCCACATCCGGGTACCGCCGCGTCCCGGGCCCGAGCGGCGCCTCGTGAGGGACTGCGCGGAGCTCCTCGGCCGGGACGAGGCGGGAGGGCTTGGGGCGCTCGCGCGATCCAGGAAAGAAAGAGGAGGAAACGGATCCCTAAGCGTCCCCGGGGCGCAGAGGGAGTGCGCATGCGCGCGACCGGGGTTGAGGGCAGTGTGGGGCGGCTGCGCGCCGGCTGTGGCTCCGCTCAGGTGAGTGCTCGTGTTCTCAGGTGCACTGGGTATGAATTGAGGATTGCATACTGTTTGGGGCTTCCTTTTTAAAGGAAGCAAGAGTAGGGCTCATGACAGCATAGATTAAAAGTGGTGAATAGTCCCTGTACAAAGCAGAGTCTGTGACTGTGGTGTGTTTTTAAGCCTTTGGAATGTTGTGCTTGCCTTCCTGCATAGTTCACTCTTCATACGATTGTATTTATTATGAGATAATTTAAATTGGCTTTTGGAAGGGGCTATACGGATTGAACATAGGCTCTTTCTCATACTAAGCACATACATGTTCTACCGCTGAATTTAGTTACACCCCAGCCTCTGGACTTTTAGTGCCCTACCTTCGAGGATTTCGTTTGAAAGAGAATTCTCTATGTAGTCCAATCTGGCCTGGAGACTCGCTGCCTTCACTCTCAAATTGCACCACCATGCCCAGGAAATTACAGAAAATTTTAATGGCACTTTATTTGCCAATTTCATTTCCCACACCTGTAACTCAGCATTTGGGAGACTGTAGGCAGCAGATGGTAAATCGTTGGCCAGGCTAGGCTACTTACTAAGACTATATCTAAAAAAACAAGTAGATAAAACCAAGAATTTTACTTTACCTTAAATGAATAGCTGCACTTTCTTAAACTGGGAAGGTGTTTAAGAGGTAATGTAAACTAGCGGTTCAATTTGGAGGAGAGCGGCTGTTTACGACAGCATCTGATGAGGCCCAGGGTGGCCTCAAAAGTTCCTAAAGAAATGTAATATAGCCACATTGTTCTGATACTGTTAGGTCCAGGGGGGTCACGCAAAGATGAGAGCACCACCAAGTCTAATAAGCCAGAAGCAAACTTTATTCCAGAAACCAGATCCCTGGAAAATCAGAAGCAAACTGTCCCGCGCTACCATCTCGCCAGCAAGAACGACGCGGCACAATCAGGATCCTTCTGCAGAAAAGCTTTAATGCGTCTTGAGAGGGAATGCAAGCTTGGGGGCGGAGACCCCAAGGAACAAAAACCCAACCCTTATATAGGTTAACAGTCCTCGCCTCGGACATGTCACACCCCGACTGGCTGCAGCTCGTCGGCCCATATGACGCCACGGGAGAGACAGAGAGCAAGGGATGGAATTTTACCATGCACACCGCACTGGCCTGATTCCGGGGTGGTGCTGCCGGATGTCAGCGCCATCTTGTAATGGAGTATGTGGGAGCGGCCCCCCACATCAAACTTAAAAATAAAAAACAAAAAACCACCGAGGGGCACAGAAGCTTATCAGCTAGCTGAGACCACAGCCAGAGATGGTCTTTGTTAGGCTGTGGCAAAAGAGTTTCTGAACCCACTTTTTATAGTAGGGGCACCAAGCATTAGGTCTGAACAAAGGAATTTTTATGATCTTGCCCCCAACCCATGGGTCAATGTAGACCCAAAAGAGAGTAGTGAGGCCTAACGTCAATGGGTAACTAGGCAGCTATCATGAAATTATGTTTCAGAGTAGATTACAGCGAAAGTCACTAATTGCAAGAAAACAGGTGTCTTTAGCAATTAGTCAGAAAAAGGACTGCTAGTAATACCAGAGGGCTGATAAATCAGAATAATTGGTTCTTAGGCTGGGAACTTAGAAGATAGCGGAAAGCTTTTCACACTATCTCAAGGTAAACTCAGATACAGACTGCCGTACTTTACAGCCTCCATTACCAGAGCTCATCAGTTAGATGGTGTTTGTACCTTGTCCACCATGTCTCCTGGTACCTCCAGACTGTGTACTGGAGCCCCATGCCTCCCCTTTGATGGCACCAGTTTCCCGTAACAGAGACAGTGCCTAACCCAGAGGTCACGTATCTCTGTCTCCTAGAGGTTAACTCAGTTCATATCTGTCGTTCATCAAGGATGGCCGGGACACTACTCTCAGTTTGTAGAGAGAAGCTCCGGCCTTGTAAATAAAACAGACAGTTTTAAAATGAAATGACCTAGGCTGATGGAGGCTTCTTAAGTGTCTGAGAAAATAGCTCACTGTGAATAATTGATCCCTGATCTGCTGAGGAAGCTGCTGACAGTCTGTTCTCATTCCCCTGGACTTATAACTTTATATTTCTTTATTTCTACATTCTTATTTCTGGAATCTATATTTTATTTTCTTATTCTTGGACTCTTCAGTTACCCCATAAAATAGACATTATAAAAAGATTTTTTTAATCTTTAGAAAAGTTTTCATGATCTTTCTCAACCTAGATCACATCCTGAGATGTTTATATTGGTATTTTCCAAAATTGATGTGACTCACTGTATCAGACACAGGTCTGTCATATGTATAACATACACAGGTATGTCGTGTATATAATGCAGTTGTTTTACACATAAGTTTATCGTACACCCATTTTTTAGGAAATATTTGGCGCCATCCAAAACTTACACAAGTCAGATAAACCCTGCAAGCACTCCGGAGGCAGAAGCAAGTGAGAGGTTTCTTCCCCAGGTGATGCAGGGATTCGTGCTATTGCCCCTTTGTCCCCTCAGACTGCTAACGGAGGGAGAAGAGCGAGGAGCAGAACTCAGGACACCTATGTGAGAGGAGGGCAAACGTCGTCTAGCTGAGTGCTGTGTGCAGCTATCACTACTCACTTCTGAAAACACACATCACTCTTAAGTAGTCCAGCAGCAGAAAATATAGCAAACTGACTTCAAAAAGTGTTGGGTGAGCTGCAGAAGTGAAGCGACATCAATGTACTAGAAAATACCATCCCTTAGTATTAGATGTTAAGTTGGGAGCGTAGGTCCCAGTCCCTTGCATCTATCCCAGCCCCCAGGCCTGGTCTGGACTTCAAATCCCAGCAGGCCAGGTCCTGACCCCACCCCCAGGGAGGGGTCAGGACCACTCCCCAGAGTACTTAAGTGATTCCCCCCCCCCCAAAAGAAGAACACATGGTCTCCCTTTCTTCCTCCCTGGGGTCACGTTCCTGCAGCTTCCTGGTTTCCCCCTCGGGGCCACCCGAGAGCACAGATCTCCCATTAAACCTGGATATTTCTTAATTCGGCTTGTATTGATTTGGCTTGATTGGGAATTTTTGCGTCAACAGGGAGCTAATATAAAGAAATATTCCTAACACTAGAGAAGCAAAAAAAAGAAAAGCATGGGATAGAGTTGGGATAATCTTTTTGTACACTGTAAAGATGTGTCTGTCTTTCTTCACCTGCCTAAGGTACCTTCTGATTGGTTTAATAAAGAGATGAACACCCAATGTTTACACAGGAGAGGACAGATGGGAACTCTGGGAAAGAATTGGAAGTATAGGAGATTCACCAGCTAGATGTGGAGGAAGTAGGACATATGCTATGCATAGATATGCTATGTCCTACTTACTGAGAGGTAACCAGCCACATGGCAGAACATAGATTAATATAAATGGGCTAATTTAAGTTTTAAGAGCTAGTTGGGAACAAACCTAAGCTAAGACCAAGCTTTCATAATTAATAAAAAAGTCTCCATGTCATTATTAGAGAGCTAGCGATATAAGGAAAGGCCCGTTACAGGATAGGAACCACATGACGTGTCATTGAAGCTGACTGATGAAATTCTGCTGTTGTTGAAACTACGGCTATTTTGCAACCAACTCAGAGTCCCTTATTCACGCTAACCTGAGAAAAGGAGCCTAATACCACCTTCCACTGTCACCACCCCTAGCAGAGACAGAGCTTGTGAGTACAGGACACCCTGAACCTGAAGCCGCTGGAACTGACTTGCCTGTGTAGGTATCCAGACACTGCCAAAAACTCCCTGTACTCGTTTCCTTTCTGTTGCTGTAATACAACACCATGACCAAGGTAAGGGTTTATTTGGGCTTACAGGACACCGTGACAACAGGTGACCATCATGATAACTGGAATACAACACTGACAGCTAAGGACTCACATCCCAAACTGCAAGCAGCAAGCAGAGACCAAATTTGAAATGACATAAATCTTTAAATTTGCAACACCCACTTCCAGCGACACCCCTCCAACAAGGCCACACCTCCTAAGCCTCCCCAAATTGCATTACCAACTGAGGCCCAATTATTCAGATGCCCAAGACGGAGGGCCACATTTAAGCCACCACAGCTGCAGTTTCCCTTATAAATAACAAAGGGGACCTGCTGTTTCAGGTGTTCAGCAGCCTTGTGACCCCTCTAACAAACTTAAAATTCCATTTAACACAAGTGGCATCATACATTCATCCCAGTGACATCTTCCAAGTGTGTGGAAGCAAAGTCTGCGGTTCCTGGGCTACCAGCACTGTGCTGCTCACTCTTGTGCACACTGCTTGGTGACTGTATTAGTC